ATTACATTCTAAAATAGAAAACTTCACAGCTAGGCAGGAAGATAGATAAAGTGAATTCAATTATTAAAGTGACTTCCTTTTCAAATTTTGTTGGGAATTTGTATCTTTCAGAATCCATAACACATTAACAGAAAATTACATGTTTGGTAATTGTGTGTAATGAAATATGAACTTTTTTTTTAATTAAGCTATTTTTTGGAAGAGGAGTGAACAAACAGTGAAAGTGGTGATCTTTTCTTTTGTGTATCATTTTTTTTCTGCTGAAAATCACTATTTACTTTCTGACTTTCTTGGTGTGTAATTATAATTACAAAAGCACACGGTATTTTCAGAGAGGCTGAACTGAAAGTCCCTCAAGTCTGAAGAGAAAGTCTTTCTCATTTTACTTTTCTGATCCTTGGTGCTTTCTGAGCTTGGTTGTTTTCTTGCAGACATTTCATTACCCAAATTAGGTAACAACATCCGTGCTCAGATGATGTAAATATTCTGTGCGAATATTCTCCTTTATTGGTACTTCTCTGATCATAACTGCATTCACTGAAGATTTTTTGTGTGGAAAAATTACCATTACTTCAGTGAAAGATGTTTCACTGAAGTCAGAATTATATTCAGACTGTTCATATAACCCTTTATCATTAGTATCAGAGCTAATTCTTAATTTCATATTGAGGAAGCTTATATTCTTTGGTTTTGACTTAATTTTTCCAAAGGTCACCCCTTGAATTAGACTGAAGCATGAATTTATGGCTGGCTGATTTGGATGTCAGGGATTGGCAATTTGTTTTCTCTATATTTTTATTATTGGAAGGGAGGGCAAACACTTGTAGGATTTTCTGCCTCAGGTGCCAAAATAATTCAACTACCGATGTCAGTTGTCTGGGAAGGGAGTGGTGTTATTTAATATTTTCATTTCAGGAAGCTTCTTAGGCTAATACATTTTGAGTATGCATAGCTAAGTTTGCATATTTCACTCAGTGTCAATGAACTCAACAAACCAGAGGAGTTACTTTAATAGTTTATTTAGGGCTGGGCAACTCATTTTATGATAGCCCAAGGCCAAGCGGGTAAGAAGAAAAATGACATGGGTAGCTCATGTGAGCAGGGCATAATTGTATGTTTGTTCCCTGGGTTCTGCATCAATTTCAAAAAATACAATTCTTTGAAAACTCTGGTAAGAACTACCATATCTGGGATTCAGAAATCTGTATGATCACTCAATAGAACACAGTTTTGTGTACCTCTTTGCTACTTTTTAAGGGTCTTCTGGAATTTTGCAGTTCAGATATATGCCTGATTTTTAGGTATATTGAGGGCTTTCACTACTGTTTATATCATGTCTGTTTTCTGCCACAAAATAGTATAAAATTATATCCCACCATTTGTTTTTCAAACAATGTTAGCCCTTTTATGGAACTTAAAGTATGGATTTTGGCTTTTGTCAATTTTCTGTCTCATATTGGCCTGAAATTTTACCATCAATCTTTGTTAATTGTGGCAGGTGAAGGACTGCAAACAATCGAATGAAGTGGTAACTTAGTTCCCACAAGCCTGATTCAATGAGATTCATGAAGGTAGACTTCTGGCTTGTACTTCTATGATATCTGAATTGAAACCAAGAACCAAGATCTTTTAAAAAAATATTTGATTGCCTAGCAAGAAATTTCCAATTTATATGTTATACTAAATTAGTATTTCTAAAATTTGACAACTTTAAGATATGTAGACTTCAACTCCTAGAATTCCCCAAGCAGAAGAAAGAGCGATTAAGCAGTGGAGAACTACATACAACTCTTTCACAATGATCCAGAATTCACTGTGTGTGTATATGAGACAATGTTGGCAGATAGCTGTGAGGGACACTTTTGGAGCCTTCCAGCACATGAGTTCATTGCCCATTCATTAAAAAAAAAAAAAAACCGAAGAAGAGAAATCATAGAACAAACAGTAAGAAAATATGGGATAATTACAAGTGGAAGATTACAGTCTGAAACCTCACCAGATTCTATGAAAAGAAACAGAATATGATTGTATTACTATGTTTCCAAAGTTACCGGTAATTGGAAAGAACAATTCGTTTTTCTTAGAAAACTGGTATCTTATGAAATCATCCTGCGTTTTTCTGTAATCCTTACTTTGTAGGATTAACATGACTGAAACTCAGATTCTTTAATTCCCTGACTTCCCTAGCATTCTATCTTCTTCATTTTTTAAAATTTATTTATTATCAAATTTATATACCGCCCTTCTCCCGAAGGACTCAGGGCGGTGTACAGCCAAAGTAAAAAATATAAATACAAACATTAAAATACAGTTAAAAAGATACATATGCGTTTGGCCCCATAATTAAAAGAACAATAACAAACCTCTCATCACTGTACGGGGCTTCCTAATTCTCACTCTACGAGGAGAAAAATGGGTCCTCCTCCAAATATAAAACTTGTATGGATTATAAATGGAAGGCAAATACCTATGATCTAGGGAAAAACAATCAAATAAATGACATGGCATGATGACAACAGCCTCTTCTTAACACACCCACACCCAATATACTATACAGCTGAAGACCAGTGAAGGGCTTTGATCTTTGCTTGCGAGGCACTTGAAAACAAAAAGAGAGTCAGAATAATTAAAGAAGGATGGGTTATGAGATTTTGCAGCCTAAAACGAAAAGTAAGATGGACCCACTTCTTCATCCTATGTATACAAGCTGGCTAGACTAACAGTTGAATGATTATAATGGAACTGAATCCTCTGTGACACATGAAGGCAGTGGGATGAGCTTCTATAGGTTCTGTCCCCCAGAACAGAACTGGACTCAATGAGATTGCTGCTGCTAATCACCATTTAGGTGCTATTCCATCAACTTCCGTATCCTAAGGCAATTCTCCTGCATGGCCTAAAGATGAAACCAGCCTCTTCTAAATTAAGTACTGAAGTGAACTGGGAGCATTATTAAGGCCCGATTTATTCCTTCTCTTTGTTTTTTATCTGGGTTCTCTACATTGTGTGACTTGCTCTTTACACTGAAAAACTGAGTACATTGATAACATCTGAAATATTTGCATTTGGATCTTTATGACTGAAACGGTATAATGCTGGGTTGGATAAAGGAAAATTCTAGAGTGATGATGAGTCAGTCATTTTGGTCTCTGAGATATTTTGCATTTGTCTGGAGCTGACGTTCGGGGTAGTCCAACACGGGGGCAAAGAGTTGGTGTCCGTGAATATGAAACGAAACTTACTTTCCAGGACAAGGTGTTTGAGGTTTCTTTCCATTCAATGCAGCTAATTTCAGAAATTTGATAGATTATCTAGACATTGTATGTATGTATGGGTTTCTGATCAAATGTGGATAAAGCTGTATAAAATATTTGTGTATGTGTTCACAACAAGCAATATATTCTATTTTTTCCCCTAATTATTATACTACAGGTGCAAATTGTGTGGATTGTGTATTCAGTTTAACAAGCAATAAAATGTGGAAGAGAAAACAATATGTAAAATATGTAAAAGAAACCTTTTTCCTGAAAGAACCTCATGGTTCCTGTGAGATGACTTTTATATTGTATTTTTTAAAATCCTTTTTGGCTGTTCAGAGTTGGCTTTGTGAGATTAACTACCATATAAAACTAATTAAATAAATAAATTTCTAACTGCTTAGGCTGTTCAGGGAAGGCTGGAGACTCTTGTTCTTTTTTTAATCAATGTTATATTTTTATTCAAAAACTTTAAAAAGGGATTTTTTTCACAAAAACAAAAGACAAATAAACAAGACACTGAAAAAAAGTGCATTCAAAAAGATACAAACTTTGTTGTGATGAAAGAAAACTCCATGTGTCCTAGCATTTATTGGCATCTCCTTTTCTTAAATTTAGATTCAAATGGGAAACCACCAGGGAAAACTGGGAAATCCAAATAACACAATAATAAATTAATTCCATACTGCTGACGAGAAAACTACAGGAATGCACCCATGGTGATTTCAGGATCTGAGCTTCACTCAAGGGTGTGCTTACCATTTCTGAATTGCCATCTCAGAATGTCAACAAAAACAGGAAAAGTAATTTAAGAATATATTAGGGGAAAAAAATAGATTTTCTCATTGTGAGATCTGCCTGAGAACACCTGCATAAATACTTAAAAAATAAACATTTAATTCAGTAACTTGAATTAGGTAGGTTGTGTAAAAGGTGATTTCCCATTCAAGTACTAATTTAAGAAAAGGGAATGCCAATAACTATATAAAGTTATGTGGAAAAAAGATCCTGGAATTTATTTTCCTCTTATTTTTATAAGTGTAATGGTTCTATTGTTAATTGTTTTTCTTCTGAATAAATGCAAAAACAAAGTTAATACGTATTTCACTTTAACTTTCAATAAGGGACTTTATTTTTATTTGTTAGACATGCTACCAAAACTAAAATTCTCTAGAATAAAATACTAAGACGGAGATGTTTCTAAGATGGATGTTTCATGGAGATAGTGTGCTGCATATAAACAATTGAACATTAAACCTGTATGGACTGATTGGTACTCACTACATATGAGAGTTTCATTTTGAACAGCTTGTCAAATATTGCAGGACAAGTTTTGGTTTTTTTTAAATTATCCTGCCTTTTCTTTCATTTACAACTCAAGGCAGCAAACCTATTAATACTTCTCCACAACAACCCTGTGAGGTGAGTTGGGCTTTATACCGATTAATTATGGAGTAAACTTCATAAAACTTAATGGATTTTTTTTCTGCGTAGTCCATGGTTGTAACCCACATAGGAGGAAATTAATTCACTAAAGTCAGTAGGACTTATTTTTGATTAAAAAGTGGTAGGATTGTGCTGTTAAAATGCTTTCTCTGCTTTCAGTTGATCAGAACTGCAAAAGAAATCGAGACAGAGGACAGCTTTTACTGATTAATGCACGTAGATGAGTTTTAGAAATATATATCTAAAAAATATCAGAAAATGTGAAAGAATTTGAAATATATTTGGAAAATTTCTACACGTGTAGATATAAGTGCTTGGATGGCATGAATATACATGAAATATACTTTATGTGGTTTAACATAAAAGTCAGTCTGATATACTATGACATGTTTTTATGTCTCAAAAGAGGAAAGAAAAAATTAAGTCATTACGTGTAAAAGGGCAGGTTGACAAAACAAAGAAAAAAGATTACAATTTTCACATTTTCCATATACTACTTTATAGTCAGAAAAAGAAGAAGAAAAATACCCCTGATAAGCAGATTGGGCTATGACAACTCCTGTGGCTTTGGCAGGTGGCTTCCTCACAATATAAATACTGATTTGTTTTTGAGGATTCTTCACTATATATCCATCCACTGACCTCATCTGATCTGAAAAGCAAAGCCCCAGGCGGTAAGTTTACTTGGCTTTCCAATTATTCTGAAAAATCAGACTATCGAAGATTTTATACCATAAAAAAAAAACAATTGGATTATCTACATCACCAACTGTATTTTGTCCAATTCAAAATAGTATCTCACAATACTTGAAGGGACATTTAGATTTTCACAAAACATGCTTTACTCAACCTATTCCATGGATTTTATATAAACCAATATAAATCTGATACAATGTTTGGTCCAAAATTCAGGATGTACATGCCAATTAGATGTGCAAATTGAGATGGTATTAATACTGACACTTTTGATACCAATACCAACTTGAAATCGTATTTTGCAACAGGAACACAATGAACATTGCAAAGGAATTGACTTGTAGTATTAATTATCTAAATCCTGGCTTCTTAGATACTGTAGTAGGAAATATGTATTGGGGGGGATTTCAATGTATTTAAAATATATTCAGATTTTCTGAATAAGCTCAATATCTTGATATATGATATATGCCCTCTTAAATTCATTTATTTTAACTGAGATATGCTGGGTCGTATTCTAAAATTCAATGTTAAAAAATGTTAGACCCAGAGACTGTATTTTGTCTCAGGCATTCCTGTATTTGTTATAAAGTTGTAGCGGTTTTAAAGAATGCAGAACTTCCAGGACTCTATGCATCTGGTGAAATGAGCTACAGTTCACAAAAGTTTATGCAGTTTATGAAATTTGTAGTTAGAAAACATGCTACCAGATTGCTAAAGCACACATAACTATTCTTTTTTTGTTTGTGCCATAGGAGCATGGGCTCCTCCAATTAAATTGCTTATCTATTTAGGTTTAGGGTCAAGAAAGAAAGAATTTCTTCTAACAGGATGGGTTTAATCTGGGAAAAGCCATTGTCAATGCAATACAGTGATGATGCAGTGATTAATTCAAACAGCTACTTAAAATAATTGGACAGAGTTATTATAACCTATTAGTTTTGCTATGTGGAATTTTTGTTCTTGGAGACAGCATGCCTAAAGATTAGATGCTGGACATAAATATCATAATGGCTGTTACTTTTATGTTGGGCCTGTTTGTTTCATAAAAGCCTCTGGCTGGACAGTGGTGAAACCAATGGTTGAAAAAATTGGAAACTAGAACTTTTTGTGGATTCTCATAAAAAAAGTCTTCATAACAGTAACAGATGGAGGTATCTCTTCTATAAAAGAAAGAGAATGCAGTATTTGGCCTTCCACTGAAAATACCAGAGAAAGTCCCACATGATGAAAAACTCAATATTAACTCAAAAGTAGCAGTTTGAGGTGTGTGTGTGAATCTGAATTATCACTGAAGCAATTCACACTCTATGAATGTTTAAATTCTGAATTATTACTTGCCATAAAATCTAAACATGCTTTTCTGTTTATGTATTATTTAAAGTCCTACCTCTAATGGTAGGCCAACATTCTTGTTCAAATATATGTGCCAATATAGATAAAATTACATAATGTAATATGTGGAAAACATTTTTTTGTTTTTGAAATTGTAAAAGTGTTTTATTTATTTGCATTAAAAATATAGAAAGTTTCTCAGATAAGGACCAGTTAGCCAAGACTTTATCTCTCTGAATCATTGCAATCTAAAAAGGTAAAACTAGGATATATAAACAATTTGCAAGAAAGAAAATAAAATAAATCTTCCAATTTCATGTTTTGACTTTGGGTTCATCTGTCAGTTATGGATACAAGAAAACTTCCATTTCATGAACTTGGAGCAATTTATGTGATGGGCAGTAGTTAACGTTTCAATTTATGCAATAAATAAATTTGACTTAATTTAAATTATATCAGATAATTTAGTAACCGTATGGTTCACAAATCACAAATAGGTTTTCAGAACTCATATATTAAATCACTTCAGGATCTATTTTGTAATTAAGTAATATTTGCAGGGTCCCTTAAACTTTTGGAGATCAATGCTCTGACAATATATTTTGCAGTTTTACAACTGTAACTGAGAGGTTGAAAGCAGTATCACATATTACATAAAAATTAGGATAATTTTTGAGCAGAAATGAAGGCGAGAGACAGGACTTTAACTTTTGTCTTTTCCTTTGCTCTTCTGCTTAATACGTTTCTACTCTATTTTTTCCCCAGTGAATTTCAGATTCTGTACTTCCCTGTTTTATAGATGGGAAAAATTTCAGAGGAGGTATAGATGGTACTTCTGTTTTTTTTGAGTGGTTGTACACCACCAAAGCTGTTAAAATCACTGTATGTAATATTTACACTATGTAAAGTTTTGGATACATGCATTTATGCAAAGTAATCCAACCCTGGGCTTAATCTATAAATTTAATGGTCAGTGAGTTATAATTTCTGGATCATGTTTGGACTTATAAAGTAAACAGCATTGCATATGACACAACAATGCAAAATTAGTTGTTCAATTTCCCATGAACAGAACTTCCCCAAAATAAAAAAAAATGTATTAGTTGTTTTATTGAAATCTCATGTACAAAATGGCTCCCCACAGAATTTCAATTTATTATTCTATTATATAATAATTAACATGGACATCATGCATTTAAGTATCTTTTTAATGGGGACATTTTTACACCTTTGGAATTAAAGAGTTTGAAAAACAGATGATTAAAATGGATTTTCATGGACCTTCCAAGGCTTTCTGCTGCCACTTATCCAAGAAAATCAGAAGGGAAAGTTCATTTACGGATTGTCATTCTCACAAAATCCAGGTTTCTCTTTGTCTCTTTTTGTAATAACACTCAACATTTAGCAGATAACTTCCAGCCTATTAATTTTAGGACAGCCATTCTAATGTGTCCTTTAAAAAGAGAAGTCAAGAAGTGGAACTCCTATAAATAACAGGTTTTTGTTTTGTTCTTCAGGTAACAACATTTTTGTAATTGCAATTATAACTGATTTGTTGTTTATTTTGGTGTTTTAGCCTTTTTACTGTAAGAGGGGAATGTAAATTGCTTAGAATCCCTTTGACTGAGTGGCATACACAATCTAGTAAATAAATTTAACAATGTTTATAGATAATCCTAATCTGTAAAACTACAGACCCTGTTCCATGTTAGGTGAACTTGAGAACACATGGTGTAAGTTAGGCATTTCTGGCTCATCCGTTTGCCAAGAGGGGAATTTTTAACCCCAGAGAAGTTGTTCAATACTTGGTTTGACGTATAGGAAAGTTTTTATATATGGTACCAACCGCTTGTGACATACATTTTCGGGGAATGTGGATCAGCGGTTTGCAACCCATTGTGTGAAAGCATTTTCTTCTCATTTCTACAAAATAAACATTATCACCTTGTTTTGCCCGGTGGTAAGAAACAAGCTGACTTCAACATTTTGGGAGGCAAATGAGTATTACTTAGGATGAAGTTATGGGCCAGGAACAGAAATATTACAAGTTTGGGATTATAGGAGGGGATAGATTTTACATTTAGATGACTCCCTTTAGTTTCCGGTGTGCAATACTTTCCACTGCTAACTAATGCACTACTTTTTTTCCATGTAGTCCTTAGAAAGTATGCAAGTCACGACTATGTAAATTCCAAATCGTAACCTGCCAAGCAAATATTCAAAAGAGACACTTCTTGAAACAAACTAATTTAATATACATTTTTTAAATAATTGCATTTGTTACTGAATCAGTTCTAGGATCTACTATAGTTCCCTACTATAGTTTGTGAGGTTCCTAACAAAGGTTTTTTGGTAATTTCAGTTATTTTTTTGAGATTGAGAAACAAGTCATAATTCATAAAATAATGGTAAACCTAGTAAGATGAATATACATTTTATGGCCTAGATGTCTGCTTGAGGCATATGGAACTACATATAGGACAGGATTATATTTAGTATGACCTGATACTTCTACATTTGATTGATTATGTGCATCAAGTCAGTGATGATTCTTAGTGATGCATAAATAGATTTTATCCATGAATACTTCATTATTTTGAAGTTACTTTTTCCTCTTTCCCTATTTATCTTTGTATAAACCCACTGTGGTAGATCTGATTATTGAGGGAGAGTTGTCTTTCCCATGATAATTTCTTTTTCAAGAACATTATATATTCATTTTTCAAAAGGATTTGTTTCCTATGAATAAACCAATTCCAATTTTTTTGGAAACTGTATTTAGGTGCAATAATTTTTTTTAGAAAGTCTATTTTTTTTTTAATTTGATTTATATGCCGCCCTTCTCCGGAGACTCAGGGCGGCTTACAATGCGTTAAGCAATAGCCTTCATACTTTTGTATATTTATACAAAGTCAGCTTATTGCCCCCACAAACTGGGTCCTCATTTAACCTACCTTAGAAAGGATGGAAGGCTGAGTCGACCTTGAGCCTGGTGAGATTCAAACCTGCAGAAATTGCAGGCAGCTGTATTAATAACAGGGTGCATTAAACCACTGTACTACCAAGGCTCTTTCTATTTCATTCAGAAATTCTGCAGGTATACACATTCAGGAGGTATGCCTGTGAACAATTTGTATTTTCAAATAACTGTATTATTTATAGAAGGAGTTTATTTTAATGATTGATGTTTATTATTTCAAAAGAATTTAACTTTATGTTAAAAATGAAGGTTGCACTGTGATCCTTTTTAGTTCTATTTTATCACCTGACAAGGCAAAACACATTCATATGCCACTGACTATCAATTCCCTATGGTTAATGTATATTTGGAGAAAAAAATATTTTTTCTGTAGCAAATATGTGAGGTTGGGGAAAATGTGCACAAACATATGTGATAAGCAAATATGCACATCCATTTATAAAATCCAAGTGGAGCAAGCTTCTCAATGAATACACAAGGATGTTTAAAAGCATGTGTCATGGGTATTTTACTTGCCAAGCTTCCTATTTGTTGATGTTATTTTCTAGAAACTCTGTTTTTCTCTGTTGTGGGACAGTATATTCTTTATACAGAACTATAATCCTAGTAATGAAATGCAGATTGCAGAATTCTTCAAAAAAAGGAAGTGTAGCACATCTCAAAATCATATTAATAACAATAGCAAGACTCAAGTAGGATGGACTTTTAAGCCACATTCGGCTATCAGTAAGGACTATGGTATGTTTTAAGAGTCCCTTGAATATTTTATGTTGTAGACAAAAATATAAAAAAATAAGACAACTAATTTGTTTTATTTATTAAACAAAATTATATGGGCATGGATCTATCAGAAAAAACTTTGGATGGCAAAGAAAAATAAATCATAATTTTAAAAAATTGAAAAACAATAGTTTATGATCCAGTTTAAAATGCTAATTTAACAAGACTTAATTTGGGAATCTCAAAGAGGTAGCATCAAATTCCATGTCAAGATTTTTTTTATCTTGTAATAAATTAAGATTTCATCTATTTCGGAGTTTTCGAAGTTTGATAATAGCAAAAAGAAGTAGCATGGTTGCCTAAGAAATTGCAAATTTAGCTGAAATTTATACGGTATTGCACAGCTGGTTTAAAATAGAGAAAATAATTATTCTACAGTTAAAATGAGTTATTTTTGAAAGATTGAGACTGCTTAACAAAACAATGCACGTAGAAACTAGAATAATTTCTAGCATGCCTCACAGTCTTCTATATTAGGCTAAGCTACCATTTCCTTTGTAGAAGAGGAGAAACAGCAAACGAGAAACTGCCTACAATTCCCAGAAGGCTATGCAGAAAAGAGCCACAGCTTCTTTGACTGCCCCCTTTCTGGAAAAGTAAAATTGTATTGTACTTTTATATGCCACCCTCTCACTGTCAAGTGACTCTAGGCAGCTTACACGATTAAGTTGTACAGTACAGTATTCCTTATAAGTCAATAGGAAACACTGCTTTTCAGTTTGAGGAGAGTTTTAGATTGTATGTAGATACTAGATTGTATGTAGATAGTAGACTATAATGGAACTACCCTGTGTTTTTGCAAATATTTCAGGTAATACCATAAGATTTCCTTAGGAATAATAACAATAATGGAATTAAGAGGTTGTGAAGCACCACATATGTTGAAAGTATATGTATATTATTTTTAGAAAAATGGAAATCCATTTGCCCTTCTCTTTGTTTCTCTGCTAGAATAGCATCAAGTGTATTTTTATGTCAGAAACAGAGAGGAAGAGTCCATGGCAGTTACTGACATTGCTTTTTTTTCAGGCACTTTTAAGACTTGGGTCTTGACCATATAGAAAAAAGATGGTTGAAGTGTATGTTAATTTGATTAAATTTTATTCCAGATATTACCAATTCTCAATGCCTGGTCCCAAGGCACCCTGTTCGCAAAGTTCCAAGATAGTATTTCAGCCTAGCCTGAGAATAACTAACCAGAATCGGCCATCTGTGGTGATACGGACTGCATCATATAAGCAACCAGTAAGTCATTGTATGAGACAGTGAAGCTGGGCCTGTCATGTAACTAATGACGCTTCTTGAGAAATCATCCGTTTCTGTTTTGCTTTCAGACAAGGTTTTTGTGGAAGTGGTTTGCCCTTGCCTGCTTCCTAGAGCTGAGGGAGACCATCCAGTGGTGGGATTCAGCTGGTTTAGACTGGTTCACTAGAACCGGTTGTTAACTGCTTGGTCAGTTCACCAAACCAGCTGAAGCCTTGCCCCATTCGAGCCTCTGGAGTCCTTGCCTGGCCTGTTACAGGCCAAAATTGAGCCTCCGTGGGCCCGATCCAGCCCTCTGAGGCACCATTCGGGCCTCCAGAGGCCTCCCCCGGCCTGTTACAGGCCAAAATAGAGCCTCCGTGGGCCTAATTATTCCTCCCCACCCCATTTCTAATGGCTTTACTGTACTTACTTTTCACTGCAGAAGAGGCTGATCCACATGGCAGAGAAGCCAAAGTCTTTTATTCAGAAGCTGGTGAAGCTGTAAGAAGTGAGATGTAAGGAAAACAATTTTCCCCATCTGAATAAAAGACTGGCTTCTCTGCCATGAGGGCCTTCAGGCTTAGTTTGGGCCCAGTTGGCTGGCATGGAGCAACCTCCTGCTTGCTACTGACTGGCTAGTTCAAATGAGCAGCTTCAGGGATTGGGGTATGGCAGCCAATCAACAAGGGGCTTGCAGTTTAGCCCAATGAGACAAAGGAAGCAAGCTGCTCGTTGATTGGCTGCTATTGCTACTTTAATCCCTGAAGCTGTCCTAAAGCTCATGGTCCTAAGTGAAAGTCTTTTATTCAGAAGCTGGTGAAAATGTTTTCCTTAGATTTCACGTTGTTACAGCTTTGCCATCAGCTGAATAAAATACTTTGGCTTCACTGCCAGTGGGTCTGGACCTCTGGAGATCTTCAAAAAGTAAGTTATCCACGGGAAATGGGGTGGGTAGGAGTAAGTGTAACCTGTGATGCTAGCAAAGCAGGCCCAGTCTGTGGAGGCCCAGCGGGGCAGGATGGGAGGGGAGCAATTGTGGGGACTCCAGGGGAGCATGAGGTGTCTCTGTGGATTGGGGGAAACCTTGGATGGCCTGCTCTAGCACTAGGCCCCACATGCTATTCCCCAGCCTGAGATACCTCATGTGCATTTAATTACCTGCGCATTCGATTAACAAATGCATTAGGGAAAGCAGGGAGTGATCACGTTCATTTAACGTGATTCAATCAAATGAATCCCCAGGTTACAAATGTAATTTGCAGGCTCTATTACATTTGTAACTGGAGGATTCCCTGCATAATAAGAGTGAGGGAGGGTCTCAGGGAAGTCCTTAGCATCACACAAGTCCCGTGTCATGCCCACCCCGCTCACGCCCACCCAGTCACATGACCACCCAACTACGCCTATCCAACTATCCAACTGGTCATTAGGGCAGAGAACCGGTTGTTAAATTATTTGAATCCCACCACTGAGACATCCACTGGTTTTGTGCCTAAGGCAGAACAGTCTCCCAATTTTTAGCCTGATGCTTTAATTGCTATACCAAACTGGCTCTCTAAACATCTAGATTTGAATTCTGATTCTCCAGAGATAGTAGCTTGATCTTGGGTATGCATGTAAATTATCAAAAATATTTTTAATACTACCTTTCCTGGCAATATTCATTTTCTAATAAAAACTGAGATATGAATGTAAAAGCACCAGTTATTAACACACTGAACATAAATATATGCAGAATATTAGCTTACCAGATAATAGAGGATCAAAAGATAACTTTGTATTTCTACATCTTTGCACTTCTAGCTCCTTAGCTAGTCACAAAATTTTCCGCACAATCCACTGAACTGCTATACAAACTAGTAGGTTATCTATATGCTCATTAGCCTTTAGAGTGACATGTGAACCAATTCTATACTTTTGGGGACATCAAGTGGCAGATATTTGCCTTGTGAAATGTTGAGAATCATAGAGCTGTCTGGATCCAGCAGTAAAGTGCATGGTTTAAAAATGAATGCTGAGCATGTGTCCTGGATATAAGGAAAAAGGTTCAGGACAGTTCTGCCTTATGCTCATTGGACATCCTTCACAAATCCACATGTGTTGGGGCTCTGACTGCCAATTGGGTAGGCACTGGTTTGCCATTAGAAAATAGAAGCGTTTCAGGATTTGGGGCTTGGCGTTCCAGTATTGTTTTTTTACTCCACACATGTTTTACTTTCCTCAGAACACCCATGCGGTTAGCAGTCAGCAGTTGCAACTCCCCCTGCCGTTTTCTGGCTCAGTCTTGCCACCAAATCTTCAGCCAGCAAGCTCAAACCATGACTTAGCATCTCGTAAGTAGAAGCTGGGAAAACAGGGTGCATGTAGCCTGGAGCTCCTTCCCTGCCTTCTTCTTCTTTCTAACCAGTTTTGTTTCAGGGATTAACATGGGAAAAAAGGACTGGGCTCACCAGGCTGCTCTTACTACATCTCCCACCAGAGAAAACGCTCAAGGAAAGCAGCTTCGCACAGATGCCACCTCTTGCTTGCACCAGTACCAGGAAAGGTGAGCCAGTCCATCTTCACTACCTCTGCCTACTTCTTCCACCAAAAACATCCCTCCCAGATATCTCTACAAATATTAAAGCACAGGTTTTGCTATTTCCCATTACAATTTGATCCTCTGCTGCAATTCTTCTCAGTGTTCAGAAAGTTTTGCTAATCCTTTGAATAGCAGAAGATGAATGCTACAGATGGAATTATAGGCTGACTCTGCCAACAAGGTGAGATGATTCCTGGGGAATCAAGCTGGCTGGATGTACCATTTGAGTTGCTCCATATGTTCTGGGCAAAAGCCAGTTTGGGGTAGTGGTTAAGGCATCAAGCTAGAAACTAGTCCTGCCTTAGGCACAAAATCAGTTGGTAGGCCTCAGGGAAGTCACTCTCTCTCAGTTCTAGGACATAGACAATGGCAAACCACTTCCAAAAAAGCTTGCTAAGAAAGCTGCAGGTATTAGTCCAGGCAGTTGTCAGGAGTCAAAACTGAAAGGCCCATTGTCAGTACTCAATATTCATTTGTCAGTCTACTTGCTTCTATACAGGGAAAGTGGTGATTTTATTTTGTCTTCTGGCAGGAAAAAAAAAATGTTTGACCATGTCTGCATTCAGCTTACTTAATAGCGACTTCTACACTGGTGTTCCTATACTAGGTCTTCCTGTTCATTCACGTATCACAGAATCACTTAATGTACAATAACATGCTGTAGAGGCAGGATACTGGTTCAACTAATAACTAGCTAGTTAAGGCAACTAGCCCTGCTACCAAGCCCACATCTGCAGTTCCACTACAGCTTTCAGATTTCTCATCCAAAATACAGGGAGGGAATTCTGAGAGATATGATCCAACACATTTGAAAGAGGCTAGAATGGAGCAAGTGACTCAAACATTATCTGCACAATCCTTGTCTGAATGGAAATCTAAAGGGCCATCAGTCTTCAGGGGCTTCTGTTTGGACTCTAGGCTCAGGCAGAGTTGGAATGCTCCAGGTCCCATCCATTAAGGAGTACCACCCAATTGGACCTAGGAAGCGTGCTTTCTTTCTCATAGCACCTCCCTCTAGAGCAATATCCCCGCCCTTTCCCCGAGATATGACTGGCCCTCCCCTAGCCATGCTTCTGAAAACCAAGCTTTTCCCAAAACTTGGATTAGAATGTGTATTGGGTACCAATTGTCCTTCGTTGTTTTTTAAAATTTGTGTTTTTTCCCCCTCAGTGTTAAGATTTTTAAATGGTATTTTATATCATCGAAGTTTTGAAGAGTTGTGTTGTGGCCTGCCAGCGGCCAGAGGAGCTGGCAGCAGACTCGGACAGTGAAGAGGTTGAGGAGGAATATGGGCCTGTCCTAGAATCTGGGGAAGGAGTGCTCTCTGTAGGACGCAGAGATGGGGCCAGGGCCGTCTGACAGTTATCAGCTACCTTCGGAGTCAGAGATAAGTGGGGCAGAACAACAGCTGGAGCCTGTTCCCAATGTGTGCATGCGCAGAGTTGTCAGGAGAAGGGAACAATTAAGGAACAGGGGTCCACTTGGGAGTAAAGGCACAAGGGAACGCTGAATGGCCCCTCCCATAGGGAATAAATAGGAGCAAAAGGGGAGTGGTGTTTGCAGGAGACAATTAGTTTGTTTATTAGTGTGAAGATTTGCTTATCTGAGTTGGTGCCTCACAGAGACTCCTTGCCAAGTATTTCATTGTACAGCATTGCGCCTGGAACCTATCAGCTTGGCAACTATCCAAGGATTGATAAGGTCTGCTGTTGCAATTCACCCATGAAAGACTGTTTGCTTGGACTTTGCTGGTTGAAATGCTAGGAATTCACATTAGCCAAATAAAAAGAGTTTTTTCGGGACAAGGAGTCTGTTTCGTGATTTGGTGAAGCCTAGGTCAGAACAAATTAGGACTTTATAATTTAATTTTAAAAAATGAAAATGTTGCACATGTAGGCTAGACAGCTGCATAAACAAGTATATGCAAACATTTTCCTGTATAGATAACCTGATTTGAGAGCTGAGTTTACTGCTTCATGTGTCCTCATTCATTAGTAACATGGCACTATGTGGGCCCCATACCACAAATACAACAAAGACATGCATTGCTTGTTTTAAAAAGTTGCTGGGGATGAATTCCAAACATTTTTAGGATGCTAACCAGCCAGTATGGTTGAGCAAATGAAATTATGTTGAGACAACCTGAGATAAGAGATACTGATGTCTGAAAACTATCTGGATGGTATTTGGCTGTTATTATTTGCTAGATTCTGCCCTAGTTCCATTCTTCTCCCATCAGATTCTGCCAGCCTGGTGTGGCCCCTCTCCTCCGCTCATGGACAACAAGGACAGCCTTTTAAATGAAAAAGTTGGCCTTAGGGTGCAAATTATGGGCTGTTTACAGATTGACCAAAGTAATTGTGCAGTGAATAGGGCATTTTCCTTGGCTTGGGTGGCTTTTCACTCTGCTCTGAGTCCAAATAGGCTCAATTCCTAAACTGCCATATTCAGCCAGGTCCCTCTTTGAGCCAAGCAAACATTGTTACCATTGTGCCCCACCCAAAGCTCCCTTACCAGAACTTCCAAGTATTAGCCTCTAATTTCAGGATCAGGGACAGAACATTAGGAACTAACAACATTGATACAGATAGTTCTCAATGTACAAGACTTCATTTAGAGGCCAAAGTTACAATGGCACTGAAAAGAGACTTATGACAATTTTTCACAGTTAACGACCATTGCAGCATCTCCATAGTCGTGATCAAAATTCAGATGCTTGGCAATTGACATATTTATGGTGGTTGCAGTGTCCCAGGGTCATGTGATCACCTTTTGCGACCTTTTGACAAGCAAAGTTAATGGGGAAGCCAGATTCACTTAACGATCGTGTTCCTAACTTAACTATAGTGATTCTATTAACAACTATGGCAAGAAAGGTTGAAATATAGAGCAAAATTAACTTAACAGTTGTCTTGCTTAGCAACAAAAATTCTGGGCTCAATTGTGGTCATAAGTTGAGGACTACCTGTAGTATCAATTTTAAATGCACAGAGTGGCTATTTTTATAATGCATTTTCTTTTTGCAATCTAATCTGTACAGTACCAAAAGCAGTTCTTAGCAGGTGCTGACAATCTTACCCATCCCTGTATTAGACTTTCACACCTCTGCATTTCTGCTCTATTATTTTAATAGCTACACAGATTTGCAGCACATACATTTAATTGGGAAAGATGAAAGCAAGCTTTCTTCTGTTTCCAACTTCAAATCATGTTTAGTTAGATTCCACCTCTAAATCATAATTGCAATCTTATGAATTTAAGACACAGGTTAAGACACAGAGCTCTAATCCCAGTTCTGATGAGAGCCCAACTCTTTCAGACTTGCTTCTGAATTTCTTAGCTTCTTCTTGAAATGCCTTGTACTATCAACTTTGAAGGGAAAGCCTATGATTGATGACTCTGGCAACTCCTGTTTCTGTATTCGGTGGATGGAAGGAGGGTTCTAGGTTGAATGCAATCATTTACACCCACCAAGCAAAACAAAATGTTGCCTTATTGCTTCTTCAGGATTCTGTCTTGAAGTTGGTCCTGATTAGAAGCAATCATAGGATAGTAGTTTCAGTTTCGTCTGCCTGGATGAACGCAATCAAGCTGTCTATATTCTGCACAAAGTAGTTATTACGGTGCTCCATCTTGCCTAATGTGTACTGGTGACTCAACAGTGAAACACCACCAGAGAATGACCCCCCCTCCCCCCCCAAAAAAACTCCTCTGAGTATCAGTGATCAATATGGTTTGATCAAAATGGTAGCTGGGTGATATGACTAAAATGGCCTGTGGCTATTGTCGTTTGCAGAGTCACATACAGGGAATGCAGAGCAGATAATACTGAGTGGCAAAGTCAAGAGGATTTGGTGCGCAAATTAGAAGATCGGGTGAGTCCAATCTTGAAAGAAGGGAACATGCTTAAGGAAATCACATTCCTTTGACTAATCTAACTGCACCTAGCCTAGACCATCTTCCACAATTCTTAGTTATGGCTATGCTAGTTGGGGGATTCTGGAAGATAAAGCCCATAAAACTAAAGTACCCAAGATGATCTAAATCAAATTGAATTCTCCAAGTTATGTCACTTCCATAACCAAACATAGTAACAAGAGGTATTATGAACAATTTCAGGGCAACCCTTAAGTTAGCAAACCTAGCACTTCCAAATGGGGAAAAACCTCAAAGCAGGAACCCCCCCCAAATAGGCAAATATAGTTTAAATGTGTTTACACTTATTGTTCAATCTCTAAAAAGTTGGAAAGAAGAATAGACTAGTTACTGCAAATACAAATAAAGACAGAGGTACAATTTAAAGACACCCTTATATTCCCAAACTCTGGGCTCCATCATTAACTATATGAAGAATTTTCCTTTAATATGAGGTTAGATAACATGATAAGTGGGAATATGCATATTTCCTGCATATTTTCAATAAAGTTGAATGGTTCATCTAGAAACTGACCATAGTTTTCCCATCTTTGTTCTGTGATGCAGCTGGCACAAGAAAAGCAGAAACTGGCTGTTATGAGGGCAGAGCTAGCATTGACCTCCCATTCACCACTTTCATATGGGTCAGGGCTCATCTTCTCACAGCATACCAAAGGGCCAAGGAGTGAATTTGTGAATGGGATCTGTGTTTCCAATCATCACGGGTTCTACAGCAATTCAGGTGAGAAGTGCATTGTGGAAGACTGGAGGCAGAACTCAATTTCTAAATTTCAAATGTTAAAATTACAGGAGTTTTCATCCGGATGAAGGATCAAGTTCTGCTATTTGTCTAGAACAGGACGGCAATTGCAAAAACCCATTTGGGATGTGTAAGGCAGAAGAGTGAGCATAAAAAAAGCAGAATGGTGTGGGTGGATGTTGAGCCATTTTGAGTGGGAACAGCTAGACCTACATTCTAAGTTCTGCTCCAGAATTCTAGTTTCAGCAATACTGTGGCAAACTGGAATGCAATCTGCATTCTAGGTTTTTACTCTATACAAATAAGAACAATTTATTTGCTTAATATAGAGGCAGTGCCACTTAACAGCTTAAGTCCATCGATAAACAAGTTTCTGTGCTTTATGAGACTGCACGATGGTTAGAGCCAATAGGGAGCTAACCAGCTTCTGAATGTATACAGTAGTGAATTTTTATTTGCTGTACTTGAAGGCTTGCTACAAGTCGTTGGTCAGGTTTTACATCTATAGAAGCAGTATCAGGTTTCTAATATTTAGAAAGCAAATGCCTTCAAGAAAGCAGAAAGGAAATAGGACCGGAAGACTCCAGAAAGTAGAAAATTGCCTGACTAATTACTTTTGTCACCACAGTGAAAACCCCCAGCATTGACTATTACCGGCATACCACAACCCGCCCACCCTTCACATATGCTGCCCTGATTTGTTGGGTAAGTTATTGCAAAATATGCCAACTTCACACAAATAGCAAGAGATTATTTTCAAACAGGATGCATACTTTTGCAAACTCATTCTCCTCCAATCAGAGGTAAAATGCTCCTGGTTCGGAGAACTGGTAGCGATGGTGACACAAGGCTCCGCCCACCTACCCGCCTGGTTTTAACCAGGAAGTAACCTGTTTTTTACCCTCTGTGCATGCACAGAAGGGTTTGCGCATGCACAGAAGGTCCAAGTGTGCACGTGAAGTGAGCGCGCGTGCGCGGCATGTGCACTTCCAAACCAGTTGGGAAGGTAAATAGATTTCACCCATCTCCAATCCTACTTTCTTAGAGTACTGAATGCACTTGCAAATGATGCTATGTTTCCCATGCTCTTGCCATATACATTTTCTCTTCCTAGCTACAGCACTATCCCATATCCACAAATACTTATTCTCTATATTTAAAAAAGTCACATTTTACCAATAGTTATTTTTGTAAGCAGCCACTTCAAATGTTTGGGGATGGTAAAAATAATATTGGGGCAAAGAAGCTGCTAGTTTTCCTTTATACACAAACATACCAATATCCCTTTCAATAAACAGCCATGCTATGAAGTACTGATGCTATGATTTGCAGGCCATCCTAGAATCTCCCAAGAAACAACTCAGCCTGAGTGAAATTTACCGTTGGTTCAACAATTTTGGCTACTTCAGACACAACACTCCTACCTGGAAGGTGAGCTGAACTCAGATTTGAATTCAAAAGAGGAAAGATGAAATTGAAGTTTGTGGGAAAAGAGGTGCTTCCATATGAAATTGGCAGGAAAAACCAAAGTAACAGAATGGAGAAAGAAATAGGTGGATTATAGTTAAGAAAATGTGCGTGAATTTGGAAATAAGCCTCTCCCAAGTATTTCAGTTCAAAATGTAAACAAATCAGAGAAACATACCTAGTTACGATCAGAGTACTGTATTTTTTGGACTATAAAACGCACCGGTGTATAAGACGCACCAAGATTTCGAAGAGGTAAGTAAGGAAAAAAAAAGGTTTTGCCCTCCCTGGCCCTCAGGAGCACTCTGCAGGCCTCCTAAACTCTCTGCGCGCCCCGTTTTTGCGAAAAATGAGGCACCCAGAGGGTTTGGGAGGCCTGCAGAGTGCTCCTGGGGTCTGGGGGAGGGCAAAAACACCAATTTTGCAAAATACAGGGCGTACAGAGGGTTTGGGAGGTCTGCAGAGTGCTCCTGAGGGCCAGGGAGGGCAAAAACGCCCCCATTTTTGTGAAAATCGGGTATAAAACGGGCCTGTTTTTCGCAAAAATGGAACGAGCGGGGGGGGGGCTTCAGGAGGGCAAAGATGGCTGTGTTCGGTGTATAAGACGCATTTCCACCTTCTTTTAGGGGGGAAAAAGGTGCGTCTTATACTCCGAAAAATACGGTAAGTTACCTAGGCAAGATGGGTGGCATACAAGAGTAATAAATAAATAAATAAATACATACATGAAATAAAATAAAATAAAATAAAAAATAGTTGGAAATCGACTATGAAAACATGAGAGGAAGGAATAATACTCAGAAATACTGACTAATAATGTCAGAAATACTGAAGATAATTGATTCCACCCTGTGTAAGAGTGAAATATCTCATTTGCATGCAGATGGTGCTAGATACCAAAATCTTAGACAACATCCCTGGAAAGCAATCCAAATGGAACATACTGGGATAGGGAGACCAGTGATCTGATTTAATAAGGGGCAGCTGCTGTTATAGAATGTTACCTAGTTCTGTAATAGTCCCTCAACATATTCTTGCTAACAATTTATAGATTATTTGCTTTAGAAGTTAACTTCAGAACAGACCAAAGTTAAGGGATTGAAGAGCAAATAAAGGAGCATTAAGACCAGACTATAAAAAGAGCATTGGTATATCTGCCTGTTGAAAGCATGAGAAAGGTGAGAGATTTTGGAAGGCAACCTGAACGAAGACTGGCTATGAAGAATGCAAATTTAACCATCATTGTCTTTCTTCAATCCACAGAATGCTATTCGACACAACCTGAGTTTGCACAAATGCTTTGTGCGAGTGGAGAACGTCAAGGGAGCTGTTTGGACAGTGGATGAACTTGAGTACCAGAAGAAAAGAAGCCAGCGTTGTGCTACTTATCCATACCCAGTTCTGTTCAACCAAGGAGTAGGTGGTTCTGTTGCCCCATTGGAATCCACTGCCCAGCCAAGAACATGTCTCCCCACTTTTCTGGTTTCCCAGGAACCCCTGTGAGGGGTTTCCCACGAACCCCTGTGAGTTGAGCTGACTCTTCCCCCATCATACACAAAGACAGCAGTGCTCAAGATCCTGTTTCCAAGCTATGGATGCAGAAGCATCGAATTTGGAGGCAAAACATTTTGAAGCAGAGGCAGCTTAAACTGGCCACGCTGCAGTATTCTCTTAATTCATAGCAGCAGTCCTAGTATTCTGAATAAAGAAAAGGGAAAAGGGGAATTTTATTGTGTTTTCAGGAGAAAAGGAACAAGGGCCTTGTTTGAAATAATAAATGGAGGAAAGAATGTCCTCATTGCATATCTGTTTCTCCAGTATAGACACAAAGGCTTCACATTGTGCCCGAAATGTGCTGCACTTTGACTAGTTTTTGCAATCTAGGCAGAGCCTGGAAGAATGAGCCCTGCTCACTCTCCCCTTGAACCATCTAGAACTGTGTATCAAAATGGGATCTTCATGTCTCTCGGGAACGGCTGAGCAGTGATGTATTTTCCTGCTTTATGGCCCGATAATCTCCAAGGATCCTCTCCAAATTGCTCAGGGTTTTCTTGCTAGTTTCACTCTCAATCTGGAAAGGAGAAACAAACAAATGGGGGCTGTTATTTTAGACAGGAGGCACGCTTGCACTCTCTGCAATCCATCATGCTGAATTAATCTGTCAAAAATTAAAAAAAGAAATTGAAAATAATGGCATTCGGTTCCCAAATTATCACTTTCACACCAGCACACACCTTTTTTAAAATTATACTCTTATCCTTATTTATTACAGTAAAACTGTAAGACAGGATATCTGGAAAAGATTTCGAACCATTTTCCAATAGGAGGTGGGAAACCTTTTAGTTGATGGGGGGAACTTCATTTAAACTTTATTTTTATGGCATGATTATCTTCAGCTATCAAGTGCTGCCATAACAGAATGGTTAAATATCCAATGGCAGCGCCAGCATTTCCAAACTATTGAGGGGGGTGTTGTTGCAGGTTTTGGTGATCTTATAGCCGAAAGGTGATTTCCATAGCTTTTCAATATAACTTTGACACCAGCGTCAAAAACCTTTTGGTCGTTTGCCATCAAAATTCAGTGGTCAGAATTTTTTGAGGGGAGGGGTATTAAAGGATACTGTGATTTGCTTACGCCTATCTTGGAAGGTCCGCTTTGATACTGCCAGGCTTATCATGTATCTAAAATTGCAAATGCTTATCAGGAAAAAAAAAACCTCACTTCTGCTTTTCTAATCAACGATGAACAAAATTATTAAAAAAACTGATTTCCCTTTTATTCCTAGGGTTGGGTGTGGTTTTTTTTTGCTAAATCAGGTTATGTTAAGAACCCATACCAAAACATTACATTTGAGGTTCCCAAACTGTGCCCCATGGCATCACCAGGCCACAAAGCAAACTCACAGGGCGCTGTGAGATGTTTTACTACTTAATAAATGGACCTATTAATGAATTTGCTGTGATGCCCTGGGGCACTGCAGCACCCAATTTAGAACTGCTAAGGATGCCATGAACCAAAAAATGCCGGAGACTGTCTACCCTAAACAAACATAAAAGAATTAATAGGCTTTGGTGTATAACACTGCACAGGAAACTTTATTACTCAAGAAGCAGACAATATACACTACAAGATATATATAAGAGAGAAAAGGGAAACTGAGCAGGCAGTTGAGGTCGTACTTCAGGTCTAGAGGGATTCTGGCTTTTTAATAGCTGCCTCTATAACAGGAGACTGGGCTTTTCATTAAAAATAACCAAGGATATTGAACGTTATTCCCAATTTCAGCTGAATATATTAGAGGATTGCAGAATCAGAAATTATTAGCGAACTCCATCATATTTTATACAGAGTTTAGAGAGGCTTTCACACATATTCTCACAAAATAATGAGGAAGGAGGGATAGAGCATCATGAGAAAGCTATCAGAAAAGCAGAGAGGCAGGTATCTCTACACAGAAGAGCAACTGTTCAAGAGCTATTTTATTTCAAGAAATGAAATGAACAGCTGCCAATGGACTGAAACTAACAAATTTCAAATACATACAAATAGTGATAACTGTGTGAAAGCCATAATAGTTTCCTTCTGCCACCTGTATTTCAAGTCAGACTCACCTGCTCCTCAAGATCCCGGATTTCTCGCAAAATGGTACCTGTGTCCTCAATAGTCTGGATCAGTTGACTGCAATTCTAAGGGAGAGGCAGAAATGGCAGCTTCAGCTGGGATGGGGTCCAAGTAGATATAATGCAGCGTGGACCATCTTGGGTATATACAGTAACAAGTTAACTCTTAACAAAGGTAGGATTACATTTACAAGGGCACTTATATGAAGTATCCTAAATAAGATTATATACCCACATCACATACCTGCCCTCATGCCATGATTATGTTGTGTTTCGTAGGCCTATCTTTCAAGCTGTCCAGAAATATGACTGATGCAAAGCATCCCCACTAGGATGCTAAGCAGTACTCAGTGTAAAAAGTCCAATATGTCAGTCCTGAAATACTCAGTTGCGAAGTATTTACCGGGCTCAAATCAAGATCCTGGTTTTAAGCCTTAATGGTTGTCACTAGACTTCGCTAGGGACTGCCTGCCTCATTGTTCAACCCTTCCACATGGGCAGTTCAGGCTCACTTGTACGGTCCATAGCCAAGATACCTCTTCTGCATTGTCTTCAAATAGTGGCAGGACTTTCCTGGAGGAATGGCATGGGCATGGCAACCTGTGGCCCTTGGCTTATTTTCAAGTGCCTTTTACAAGCAAGCCATCTCTAAAAGATACCATACCCTTCCCTAGCAGCCTCCTGGAGGAAAACTAAAGAGGGAGTTTGAAAGATAACAGGGAAGGGAAAAAAGGAGTGCAGGGAAAAGGAAAAGAAGAGTATCAGAGTGGAAAGATACCTCTATTCATTATGCACATTGTTCCCCCTTTGTGCCTCCCAACAGATTATGCCCTATCTATAAGAAATGTAGCCCTTAACCAAAAAAAAAGCTGCTGTTTTCTTGCAGGAATTTCTCTTCTCCAGGGTCAATGTCAAAAGGCATTGAGACTCATCTCCTTTCCTTCTAATGTTTCCACTATAGTTCTAATATTCTAAAGTTAGCCTTGTATTGTTTTTTGGCTTCTGATTATTTCCCTTTAAAAGGCCGCATAAAAATAATCTATTTCTCTCGCGCGCACACTTGCAAACATGTACTGCGTATTATTGCAATAGGAAACCTCTCACCTCATGCAAAGCTGCCAAATACTTATACGCCTTCCTCACAGCCTCATCCCGCTTGGCATCCTGTGGAAAGAGACAAGGGGAAGAAGTTAGCTTCTTCAATGTGCCCCTTCAGTGCTCTACCCTCTTCTGATCCCCAGCCATTACCTTAAAAACCAGCTCATCAGTGACAGCAAAAGTCCGGTCCAGCTTCCCAGCAAGGCTATTAATCTCCTTTTGGAGCTCCTTGGTGTCATGTAAGATCTTGGGAAGGAAAAGCAAGTAGCCACACATAAAACAGCAGCAAAGTTTTGCAAAGGAGAATTTAATAGATTTCGTAATTGCCAATAAGAAATCTTTGAACAACGCTAAAATAATAGCAATAATTATTGTAAACACTGTTAAGTGAAGAGCCTTCCTAATCATTAAAGCTCAGTGGTGAGAGGAATAGCCTTTGTTGAATATAGACAGGCACAAGTTGAGGGCCCTGTTGAGAAGAGAGGGACTGATAAAAGTTTACTCCACAGTTGTTTTTGTTAGGTATAATTACAGATTGTACGGCTATAGCGACTAATTTGATTCTGAACTTAATAACTGCAGCAAGACTCTTGGTGGTGCAGTACTAGAAGAAGGAAGATTTACCTACTATTCAAGAATGGACATTAAAAGTAGTAAATTTAGCAGAAATGGCGAAAATTTCAGCATATCTAAAGGACCATTCAAATGAGAAATATATGTTAGAATGGAGAAGATGGATTGATTATATTCAAGGAGTCTGATATTACTACAGCTTTACAATTAAAAAATAGCATGGGTCTACATGATATTGGATTCCTTGCCTGATTTATCCTGATGTTTTACCACTCCTGTGAGCTCTTTCAGGTTGTGAGAATGTGATCAGATCCAAATCACCGAAAGAGTGGATACTTACGCCTGGCACTTTAAAAGGTCCTATACTTTTTGCCAATGGAAATGACGGAGTACTTGTAAAATTGACAAAGAGATTTTCATACATTCCTCTTGGAACCCAGCCAGGTGAAATGAAAGATAATCAGAAAATCATACACACTGGACTCAGCCAAAGTGAAGGAGAGTCAGACCACAATGAGTTTTTGCACAGAAGGAATTGGAAACCACCTGTACATAGCTGGGCATTATCCTTGTATGCATAAGCCTTGCTTCTTTGCCTGTTACCTCTGAGGGAGGCAGATATGCTTTATACAGTATTGTTACTCACTTTAGTAATGCCAAAGTGAATATAGTAAACCGAGCAAATAAAACCATATTCAACGGAAGAAGTCATAACTGTTGAAACAGCTTAATACAAATGACAGCAACACACAAAATGACAATGCAGGGGAAAAAAACCCCTCTGGGTGAATAGGTACGTCTTCAGTCATGCTGACATTGAAGAAAATTGGTGCCAAGTCAAACCTGGCAGAGAAAGAATTTGACACTGTAGTCAAGTGTATCTGTAGATTTGACATGATTAAGATTTGGGGGCGGTGCATGTGGAGAGGATAAAGATCGCCTTTTAAAATCACCCCCGTGTCAAAATGCAGAGGGATGGCATTGCAGGAAGTCTGAACAGATTCTGTACCCTCCCTTGCTGGGCCCTTTCACTGTGTCAAATATGCTGTTCTCGTGGCAGCTCAGCACTTCAGCATCTGAAGTCATATGTTGAATAAAGACATGCTAGAGGGTAAAAAAAAACAAACCCCAACAATCCATGTCTGCAATTCATCAGCACATCCATTGAAGACTCCAAAGCCCCCAAGAGTAAATGTTTCCAATAATATGTTTTGTTTTAAAACGGGGGTAATTTTAGAGGGCAATTTTAAAACAAAAAAAATAAAATAAAGTGGGTGTCCTATTGTCACCCACTGTTAAGAGCAGACCTCAGCATGGCTCTTAAATCTAAGAAAATAGTGTACCCCTATAAAAACCTTTTAAGATCCAGTATTTCCCTCTCTGTTGGTATAACACAATTTCCACTTGCATCCAAATGCTATTATTCCCGAAAG